TAAATGACCATTTTCAACACTGTGCAGAGTGCTACAAGAATTAATTTACCAGTGTAATCTATTCAAAAAATGCAGATGAGAATTTTGAAAATACTTTTTTCAATGGATTGGCTCATATTAAGTGAAACTTTGCTAATTTGCAGCACATATAGCTCAAGAAAACATTTGCAGTTAATGACTCATTTATAGACAGCCTTTCAGGTTTCACTACGATGTTAAATATGGACAATTATTAGCAGAATGCTTCTTTTCATTTCCAACTTTTGTTCATGTAAATACACAACTTTTGTCCCTTCTTTCTTTCAAGAAAAAGGTTTACAAATTCTTCTACATAAAATCGAGTCCTTCTGTTCCTATACTGAAAAGAGAATAATCAAATAGTGATCTTTCATTTTAATCCAAATTTCCAAAAAGGAAACCCTGTTTCTTTCATAAAATAGTATGAAATACTGACAAAGACAAACAAACAAGGCCTGTGATGGATAAACAATAAGTTAGCTGTGGGAAGGTTAGCCTTTGAGAAAAGTGTAATAATTTATAAAGTGTTATGCATTATCTACACATATGTACAAGTTTACTCAAAGTTTACCAAAGTTTCTAGTTGCTTAAAAATTTACAATGATAAAATGCAGAACACCCCCCCTTTTGTAAGACCACAGAAAAAATTCTCAATCCTCCAGCCCAGAACAAAATTGAAAAGATTACCTTGAACTCGAAGAGAAAAAAACCACACGTTAGTTAAAAGGTACCTCATATGATACCTTTATCCACCATTATTCGCTGTCACTCCCCATGTAAAGGCAAATTTTGGGGGCAAAACAATCTCTAAAATTCTGACTATATAGATATATAACATTGAATGATCACATAATATATTTGCCTTAGTATCAAAATATTGGCTTTGCAAAGTTATGCAGAGGAGTCAGCTAGTAAAATAAAATACTGAACACTGAAAGCCCAAGGTAAAATGAATAATAAAACGAATTTCATGATACTTCATACCCTCTCAGTACAAAATGACATCCTCCAGTACTCGCAAGTTGTGAAAATCACCTTGTAGAAATAATTATTCTCTCTTCAGCCATTAAGTATTTTTCTTTCTCACTTCACATATGTTCAGAGTCTTAGAAGCTGACCCATACATTCTCTTTTTCCATACTGCTGCCACTAAGGTGCTTTAACAACATTTTTAATATTATTCTTGGTCTGTTTCTGCCACTGAGGTTTGAAACAAAGAAGTTTCAGGAGGGGGAATTCAGTTGGAATACAAATACTAGGCTTCTCTAAAGACATCTATTTAGATTATATTTGAAGAACTGTGTTGCGTATGTTGCTATAGTAATTGATATATGACTAGGACATGCAATCCAGATTTCCATATTAGCAATACATAAAAAACCTCACACAGGCACACACACACAATCTAATCCTTCCAGTACGCACATATATAATTAATACAACAAACTGATGAGCGTCCTATAAATCACTGCTAAATATTAAAAAAGTCATTTCACAGCTGTGACATCAGCAAAATGCATCCAACGGTTGTGACCTCGCATCTGTAAAAATCTTTCAGAAATGTGCTTGCAAGTGCTTCCTATTTAATCTACAGCACTAATATTAAAGCTGTGTTTCACAGCCTTATCTCCACGTTTTCAATTGTTTGCCCAAGAATTCACATCCTATCTTTATTTTGCAGGATTTTTATAGTATTCGTATGCATTCCTCACAGAAAAAAGGTACCTCATGTCTTCTACCTGGTAATGCTTGAACAGACATAAGCAGTAATCTTTACTGTCTGATTCTCAGTATATGAAAAAAGATTTATTCTCTTTAAAGAAGTGCTATGCTACAAAGGACTAGAAATTGGAAATGTTTGAGGGAGAATTAAGAGAGCCTATTTATTTCTTAATCCCTATTAATAAATAAGGATAGCACATATCTGAAGTTATATGGAAAGTTACTGAATTTATCAAGCGTTTCCTCAGGTCAATGACCTACTGCTTTGTATTTAGAGATTTAACATCTTGTGTTTTGTGTTCTGTCCCAGGGAAATTGGTTACCTGTGGGTCCTGGCAGGGGAGCAGCTTTCCTTCTCCGTTTGATGTCTCCCATGCACAATGATCCTAAATGTACACTGGTTTGCCTGCAAGTAATTATAGGAGAAAACTATTAACAAAGGAAGAAAACCACCGCATAAATACACAGCTTGTATAATCTGAACCTATATCAAAACATTCTCAACCAAGATGAAGCTGCACAGTGAAGCCACCGATCTTGTTTATATCAAAGCATAATTATGTTTGTTGACAAGCGCTCAGTATCTAAATGCAGCATCATAAATTGTTACTGGAATGAATAATATAAAGGGAATGCTTTTTAATTTTCAAAACTGGCAATCTTTCTAGCTCAATGTAAAACAAAAACACTGTTGCTCTTGACAGGAAAATAGCTAAGATTAATTATCTAAAGAGATCACAATACTGTTGGTAGGTTATCAATTGGCTAGTAATGCCTGACTGTCAGAACAACATTTATTACATGAAAAGTATTATCAATTTTTTTTAAGGTAAGATGAAGAATGAATGAGAAAACATGAAACAGTAAACTCTTCAAAGGTACATGAAATAAACTCGTAGCACACTAATTTGTCATCTTCTAATTCACTGGCAAGTTGTGAGAATGATAACACGGAAGCACAGTATCTGTTATACTCACTAAACAATTATGAGCTTACACTTGGAGACCAGAAAATTGGTGGAGCTACAGAGGATGGCAAACAAGCAAATCTTACTGCTGTAAGAAGTCAGATACCACAGAAAAAGGTAAATTTGGAATTTCCAAATATTGAATTTTGGAACATAATCTTAAAGGACGATTATAGTTATTATTTTTCTTAAAGTAAGGTAAAGTGCCTGTAGAATGGAATATACGTAGCCGGCATTTTTTTGGAAAGAGCTAGAACAGAAGAGGGGGAAAAAGCAGTAATTTCTAAACTCCACAATTTTAATATGTCTCCATAAATGTTACTCAGAACTGTGATTCTTACTACAGTGGTGTAGTGAATTTTGCTAAAGTTACAAGCTGAGAATTGCATCTGATAGTCTTCTGTAGCATAGTAACACTGTCACTCACGGGATCTGGTTTCAGTGTGGATATATGACTTATCTTTTACTGCATTTATAAACTTCTTAAAGCTGTGCTGCTTCTAAATGAATAACAAATGGTCATATAATGTTGAGAGACCTCAGATCTGCTCAATAATGTAAAAGAGTGACCACAAGGCCTTGATGAAAAAGACGACAATGTACAATCCCCTACATACTTTCAAAAAAATACACTAAATTAACAAGTACTGCAGTGCTTTTATTTAAATAGTAAAATATTCCAAGAAATTTAAGTTTCACACAGAAATGCACTCTAGCTTCCCCTAGTGAACCCTTATTTCAACACTTATTTAATTCTGTTTTAAAACAGACGTTTTCCTTGCAATTCTTCTAAGTTGAAATTGCATCCTATTTTAACATCCAGAATCTGAACATATTTGAACTAGTATATTAACACGGTGATAAATTCCAGTTCTACATTTAGAAAGACATCAAGAAGTGTAAGCTTTTAATAATTGACTGTACAATAAAGAAAATTAATATTTTAATACAATATGGGGAAACAATTATTAGAGAAAAATATTTGACAGATGTATATAACATTGATATTAAACACGCAGAATAAGTTGTGTGGTAAATTACATGTTAAACAATGTGCAACTCTCTGTTTTCTCTTCCGAATGAAAAAGGGAGAAAGTCGCCAGGAATACAAGTAGGATGAAAGATAAAAATTAATAAAGTCAGGCAATTGAACCTGAAGACCTGAGCCACAGCAGTAACAGCTAGCAGCATTTGAGTTATTTTGGCCAGAATTGATTATCTGTTACACTACATTGAGATATCTAAATTATTGATCTGTAAGATTATGGTACTGGGGTCTCCCCCACTTTTCCTCCAGGCGCACGGAATGGAGTTGCAACAAATAACACTAAGTAAGGACTACTTTGTTATTGTAGTCACCCTTCATGTAGAACATAGCAGTTACTTTTTAATTTAAAATCAATGAACGTCTGAAAGGCAGCCTTGTTCCTTCAACATAAATGAATCATTCGCCTTTGCCGAGCACAACCACCCGATCACCAGCCAAGGTGAGAGTGGGTATTTCTTTGTTGTTGTTGAAAATTCTGTACGCCACAAATAAATAACGATATGCTAGAGCACCAATTAAGCTTTGTCAAACCTGGTGTTGTGGCCACTAACATCAAACATTACACTAACTCGCAATTCTAAAGCAGCATTTACTTTCGCCAGGTCTTAACATCTGACATGCACTGTCAATGTAGATCACAGCAAAACAAAAAGCTTTTTTTTTTATTTTTTTATTTTTTTAAGAGGAACAGACAAGAACTATCACTGCTCTGGATCTGGCAGGTTAGACAAAATGAAGTATTATTCTGAAGCTGCACAGTACATTTTGCAATGCTTGTAATGGGGGTATTATAAAGTAGGAAGAACTCTGACCCTCAATCAGGCTAAGTTCAGCATTATGTTTCTTAGCATTAAATCAGAAGAGCACGGATTACAGAAGGGAAGAAAGCTATTTGCCTGACTTCTCTCTACTTACCCCTAGCTTGCTTCCAGCTATCATTTATAAATAGTGCTCTGGAGGGAAGCTAGGCATTTTATTATGGAAAAAATAAAAATTGTTAAGACCACCTTGCCTGAAAACTTGGCTTTTGACGTGCTGGTGACAGGGACTGGAGCAAGCAGTGTCAAATGGAATAATTTTTAAGGAAAGACAACAGGAACTTGTCGCCTCATTGTATGCATTTACAAATAGAGGCTTTTCGGAGTATTAGGCCTAGTTAAAGCTGCCCTCTGGATAAAAAGTGTTCCCAAGCAGCCTCAGACAAGCTTGGGAGACAAACAGATGTGACTATGGTCCCTGGCGTTTGGCAAGAACACTCACTGTCAATAAGAAAAATATGAGCATGGACAGGGCATCAGCTGCACCACGGCCGAGCAGGCCTGCAAGTGTCATAGCAGCGGCAAAGTTGTGGCAGAGGGAAATAAGAGGGCTGCAAAAGCCAGGCTGGTGTGAACTTACACTAGCATGCCAAGAATTTTTTTTGTTGTTGTGTCATGCCTCAACGTATTAAACAAAAACACTAGAAATACCACTGTCAATTTTTATTCATTTTTCATCTTGCTAACTGTGTTTAGGTTCTCCATTCTATGTGGTAAATAAGAGCCTCAAACATGAAGACAGACTGGGAAAGGCAGTAACAACAAAAAAGCTATTGAAATAATTAATAATAAACACAATAAAAAGTAGCTTTGATACAGGAAATACTTTCATAGAAGCAATGTCATGTAAAGCAATTCACAAGCATTTATGCATTCTTGTGACAAACATTCACTCAGACAGAAATTTTGTTATCTCCTTCTTAAACAGCTGCAGTCTCCCTACCGTTTCTTTCTTCAAGGTAATCGCCTAGAATTCTCTCTTTCAACTCCCTAAATATTTCTTACACAACACAACCTCTTTTTCTGTAATTTTCATAGTTCAATAAGCAAATATTTTTGATGAGTGCCTTTTCTGCAGTTACACACGTTCACCTCTCCAAGACATTTGTAATAGGCTATGTCAGATTTTTATCTAGCCTGACCCTTGCAGTCAATGGACCATTTGGTTACATTCCCCAAATAAACGTCTGTTCTGTGGAGGAACCTACAGCTGCACTGCTTTAATTGCAATCCACCTTTTGAGCAGCTGAGCACACAAAGTGGTTCATAACTCTTTCACTAGTAGTTACCACCTTTGCTGCTATCGAGGTTAGTTCACCGATCCAAGTCACTGAGGATAATACAATATAAACCGGGTGTAGGACAGCAGATACTCCTGAACACGAGTTCTCTGGTTTATTACATGATTCTGTAATCACTATCAACTCTTGTGTAAGAAAACCAAAACCTAAAAAAACCAAACAACTCCACCCCAAACCAAAATGCAAAACAAGCCTTCCTCTCATCAAAATTAAAAAAAACCTATTCATATTCAGTAATTGTTCCACAGTCTCTTCAGAAAGACACAATGAAGACAGTGTTATACAGCGGGTAGCTTCATATGCATTAGTACAATGGCCTAAACTAGCAAGACTGTAATCTCATGTGGGGGAGCTCTAGGTACTAGTTTATTAAAATGTTTACATGTTTATTTTATGTGTCTCATTGTAACAACATGTCTGTTGATCACTTTACTCTGTCTGCTGTTAGCAGCTGCCACTTTCCTTGCAAGCTGAAATGCATTATTTGATATCAGCACAGTTGCTTCTGTTGGTGCACTGTAATTGTGCCGACGATTACATCACTGAAGGCAAACTTAACTTTGTCCCTTAGTATATTTACTGTCAAACCGTTTACCAGACAATACTATGACATTGCTAAGATTACTTGTAAGTAATGAAGGTGATGGTTGTATGTCCTGCTTGTGTCAAAAATGCATAAAAGTACTGATTACTAAAGGCAGATG